CGTTTTCCAGTTTCTCTTTTTTTTTTCAAAACAAAAACACTACCTACAACGAGGCAGACACATTACTTTATTGCTCATGTTAGAAAAACGGGTTAATTAGAAACTTTTAATTCAAATTATACAAAGAAAGCAGTTAATGCCCTATGCTTTCTCTCTCTTTTTTATTGCATGGATGTTGAAAAGTAATTGGGATTTAACGTAACCCTTCGCCAACATAATCCTCTTCAAACAAAAGAAAATTCTTTAATTTCCCGAAAGACTCGACGACGACGACTTTTCTTTTGTTTTTCTTCGGCCCCAATAACCGATTACAATGCATGGAAATATTCAAAATTGAATACAAACTCGACATCGTTTCCCGATATTTGACATGCAGAATTTCGAGCACTTGTGGAAGCCGAAATATTTCCGGAATGAATCGATATTCCGACAGGTAACGTTGTTATTAGGGTGAAAGCGTACAAGGAAAATCTGTTAGCTGATTTCCCGGTCTACAGAAGAAAGAGGAAATGCTAATTTAATTAGAAAAACTGGCGGCATCACAAGTAATAGACATTCTTGGCGCTTCCATACATAAAAAAGAGCCTTAGGTAATGAATTTCCACTTAAGGGATGTTAAAAAGAGTTCAACTTAATTAAAAATAATAAAGACACTAATATTAAAATCCTAATACAATAAATTTAAAATAGGAAGCACGAAGGGAAGGTATATATAAGGGAAGAAAAAGTAAAAAAAGAGCGAATATAAAGACAGGAGACGTAAAATTAGAAGAAGTAGCTGATTTCAGGTATCTAGGAAGTCATATAAGTCAAGAAGGAAGGAGTACTAGGGATATAAAGCAGAGGATAACGCAGAGTCGAGTTGCCTTCAATAAAAAGAAGTCACTGCCCGCGAACCGTTAATTTAGAAATTCGAAAAGGGTTGTTATAGGTGTATATTTGCAGCGCGGCGCTGTACGGGTGCGAAACATAGTCAATAAGGAATAAGCGAGATAGGTTAGTAGGCCACCTTCTTAGGCATGAAGTCAGAGACATATTAGAGGCAGAAATTGGAGTTAGGAGGGGTAGAGGTAGACCTAGATTAGATTGCTGTTCTAGTTTTAGGGAAATGCGAAGATTAGATCAGGATAGGAAACATTGGAGGTGCGTGTCCAACCAATCTTGGAACTAACGACCTTATGATGATGAGGAAGCATGAAACAAATCCTCAATGAATCATTAACACACGATGAAAAAAGTGACGTTAATTTTGGAAAAAGCAATAATTAATGAGCAATAATTTTCCAGAAAAACTCTATAAAAATTAGAAGTCAAAAAGATCTATAATATTTACGTATGTACCAATCAATCAGACTCACAATGATTATCTTATTAAAATATCATCTTTTGCCCTTGTTGTGGCATATAGGGTTTGTTTACCATGGACTGTATATTTCTCACATAATTTTGTCTAATTAAAACAGACTAACGAGTTCTTTTGTTCTCGCCATACCGTAGCCGCAGCACCGTGTCGCTTGGAATTGCCCCATTAAGAAAAAGGCAAACGTTGCACATTTTCCGCGTGCCGAAACACAGGGCCGAGTCAAGGGTGAGAGGGTGAAAACAAGCGCCCCCGTTTCACGTAGTCGTTCGCTCTCTTATTAGAAAAACCGGGTAGCATTGGTGGTAAAGATTGAAGCAAACAACCCTTTGCAAAACGGGGATGACGACGATATGTGGATACTGTAGTGGGTTGTTTGTGGGGAAATAGATGTTCACTTGGTTCGATTAACAAAAACAAAGGTCGCGATTATGTGACCAGGAAATGAGTATTTTTCAGTAAAAAAAAAATGATAGCATCAGTTAAATAATAACTAACAGAAGTGAAAATATTAACGTAGATTTTAATCAGAATAAAGTTTTAGAAACATATGAAATAGGAGACAAAAGTCAGGAAACTCAAGATTTGACAAAAAGAAATTACTTTTATGTTACATTTAGAATTTCTAAAAAGATTTTATTAAAGGTATACATTTGGAGCATGGCTTTTATAAAGGAACCATAATATCTGTTTTTTAATTCATTTCCCCTTTTTTAGAAAAAGTATGTGTGTTCCTTTTTTGGCTTAATATTTGACCGAACCATTTCCTCGAAAAAAGCTTTCCCAAGTCTTATAGATTTCTAACATTTCCCACATAAATTACAAGCAGCAGTTTCCTTCGTCAGCGCGCTTTCCTGACCGAGAAAAAAACTTCGATTGATAAAAACAGATTGCAACGTACGAACTTTTATAAGTTAAACTTGTCATTAAACAATCACATCAACAATGTACGTCGTGCTTCAAATGTTTCATTATCGTCGTTAATTTGTTAAAATTTCCTTTGTTCTTTTATTTCAATGTCATAGACACGGAATTCACAAACTTTTGTTATAATTCCGAGAAGTTAATTACATTTGCGGACGACACAAAGATTTAATTGGTCATTCATTATTCCAGAAGGGAAGGGTTGGATATTTCAATTGCGAAAATAACTTGTTCGGAATAAATACGGTTGGGTATATATGCACAAATAAATAAATAAATAAACAATACCAGTTCGTGTCAAAGAACATACAGAACGTCTTACAGCAACAAAACATGAATTAACGCATTAAACAAGATGTTTAATTCATTGAAAGAAACATTAATGCATGTGTCGAACTGCTAGTAAACACGAAGCAACAAACAGAAAATCATTTAGGATGAAATATGACATTTAAACGCAGTGATTTAAGCCCAAAACATTACTATATATAACAGGTATGTGAAGTGATTATATTTTTGATATAAAAACACAATCTTGGATATTATCACCATAGTGTTCTGAAGAAAATTAGACGCACAAAATAACTAGTGTAGACAACGTAAAAAGAAAAATTGGTTGTCAAAGGAAACAAAAGGGCAATAAAGAAACCTAACGGTGGTTTAGTTTGATAACGGGATTCATTGTTTAGCTGTAATTAATATACGTAATTGGATGTAAAATAATAACTGCTAACATAAAATTTACAATTTCAACTGTTCGCTAGACAAAGGCACGACCTGTATTATTATAGGGGTTTTTATTTGCGTTTTAAGGATAATTCTGTCAATTAATTTTATTATTAATTACGTGCCGATTTACGAACAGTGCACAATTTACGTTTAGAATAACACACAAAATTCAACAAAACTCACGCAATTTCGAGTTAAAAAAATTCTATAGTACCTATGAGCCGTCACTCTGTATAAGCTTTTTGCGTTCGACAACGTTTCTACCTGTTTCGTTCATCCTCTGGCGAATCGCGCGCACCACCACTAATAATAATATTTGGGAGTGAGCGTCGCGACGCGACGCGTAGTTACGACCGTCGAAGGACTGAGGCGATTGCCAGAGGAGCGGCGTCGCGCGCGTCGCCGTGGCAGAGCTCCGAGAAGGACCGTCGCTCCGGGCATCCTCCGGAGTGGAGTGGAACTAATCGATAAAGCGGTGTTCGAAGACGACGTCCGACGTCGAAACGTTTTATCAGCGGAATTATTGTACACATACACGGTGCCGTTGGTTTCGGCATCAGATGTGACCCGAAGTAACGGATTCCGGTCATAATTTATTAGGGTCACGGAAATTTAGGTAAAAAGATGTCCGCTTGCGTCAACGTAAAGCCCGGTTGATAGATAAGGCAAAAGTACTTACTATAACTAACTAAAACCGCAGTACATTTACTTAACAGATTATTTTGACCTACAAATTTTGTTTTCAATGATAAAACCAACCCTTACTTGCATTTAATCTAACCTATCTATGTATCGATGTTTCTGATACTTCGACGGTTCGATTTTAATTTTTAACGATGCATCAAGAAGCATTAATTAAAGTCGTTCATTAATTACTAGTAGTAGTTGGTACATTGTATCTCGATATTCCGCGCACAGTCTCGCTCTTCTAAAGCTATTGAATCACCAACTTTCCGTAAAAACTGGAAATATCTGCATTTTAATTGGATAGCAACACAATGTAATGTAACAAGATATAATTGCAGAACTCTAGAAGGCGGAATAGACACTCAAACTGGTAAAATTACTTTGTATGAACATTATAGGGACAGCGTAACTCCGAAATCTAGTTATACAATATGGTACGCCCGGGGGTCTATTCAAATTCTAAATGTTCCTAAAGATTAGAGCTAATGGTTTTCATAAATTTTATATCAATTTCTGAGAAAAGCGTACGTATTGTTCAGAACACTACTTTATTAATTAATTATTTATTCCTCCAAAATATCTGCCGATAAACCTATACGGTTAGAAGCTTTCGAAATGTGGTGTTATAGGCGAATGATGAGGTTAACGTGGATAAAAAAAAGAGGTATCAGAAAGAATAGGAAAACAGAGGACTCTATGGAAGTCAATAAGAAATAGGCGAGATAGGTTGGTAGGACACCTTCTCAGGCAAGAAGGGCTAGTCAGAGACATATTAGAGGCAGAAGCAGGAGTTAGGAGGGGTAGAGGTAGACCTAGGTTAGATTACTGTTCGCAAATGGTTAAGGATGTGGATTGTTCTAGTTTTAGGGAAATGCGAAGTTTAGCTAAGAATAGGAAAGAGTGGAGGTGCGTGCCCAACCAGTCTTAGGACTGACGATCTTATGATGATGATGAAACTTAACTGCAGTTGCTCTAAAGAAATATTTTCGATTAAATGCAAACAGGAAAGAGAAAAGAATCTCGCGACTTTGTCAAAGTTTAAAATGAAGAGATAACAAAAGAACCGTTACGCTTCTCTTTAGCATAAGGCAATGATGACGCTTGACGCATCTTTATAATTAACTACAAATAGGATGACTCAATAGCGCTCTCAAAACTGTGTGAAATTTCCATTCCACTAAAACATTTTCCATCAATATTTAATTATGATATCAGGCTTTCTCATTTCCTGTATTTCGCTCAACACTTGTACATTAAATAAAAAATAAACTTTACAACTGTTACAACAACAGGTACTCACCACTATCCAATGAATGATATACTCAAATCAAGTGTACCATTCCTGAAACAAAAAAGAAAAACAAGTGATAAGCATACGGTCCAATTTTTGCCTCTTTAATAGTAGTCGAACTCTTTACGCCACGATGAGTCCTTTTCATATTTGATAAAGGCATTAAAAGGATAAAAGCCGGCACTTC